AAAAAAAAAAAAAAAAAAAAAGCATGTCACAACCTTATTTGCAAGTAATTAAGGAAAGTTTGATGGGCAAAGCATTGTTTTTTGAGGAGCCAGGAAGAAAAGCACCATCCTATGAGACCCAGGCCAGGACGAGCTGGTCCTCAGGTGGAGGAATGCCAGGGGCCCGCAGGCATGGGCTCACAGCCGGGATGGCGCCTCGTTAGAGGTGGGCATGCAATCACTTGTGTGTTAGGGCTCCCGGGCTTGCTGGAGTTCTAATAAGTAGGGAGAGGGCGGTTAGCAGTCAAGGAGAGAAGATTCTGAAAGATGCTGCGGAGGGTCGAGAGGAAGGAGCTAAAAAAGTGCTGGCTCGGCTGCAGCCCCAATTTTCCATCCTATAAGGTTTCAAAGTGAAAGCATCTTAAAGCCGAAACACAGCTACGGGAGGATGAAGAACAGCTTTACAGAGGACTCGTTTAATCTGCCACGAGATACACAGCTATCTCTGATATCAAACGTGTCACGGATCTAAGACAGAAAGGAGCCCAGGGAGGGAAAAAAGCATTGTGGGGACTCAATGCCTAGAAAGAAGTCGATTGAGAGCCATCTGTCCAGTAGCAGGAGAGACACATGATTCCCAGCAGGCATTGGGGTAAGCCGGAAGCAAGCAAAGTCTTACTTGGAGGGGGCGGTCTCTGCGGCGGGTGAGGTGGCCGAGGCCTACTGGGGACCGACAGAGACCTACTCGGAGAGCGGTGGCGGAAATCTCCGACTGCTTCCAGCTCCTGCTTTAACTCCACCAGGTCAGCATCATCTGGAGGACACGGCGGAACGTGAGTGAGGCGAGTCGGGGGTCAGACTCGGGTCTGCACAGAGGCAGGACAGTGGAGGTGCATCCCTTTCTGTTGGCATGGGAGGGACGGCGGCGGCACCCAATGCCTGCTTGGAATATTCAATCAACCGTGGACAAGGTTTGCTGTCCAGACACGAGAGACACTGAAATCATATTTTGAAGTGTAGGTGTGTTTCCTGCTGAAATAAGCCACAGATTTCTACACAGAGGAGAGGAGACAGTTGAAAACCAGAGTTCCTCATTTTTAATTCCTCCCTCTAAGACATGACAACTGTTTTGGAAGCTAGACTATTCTCGCTTCTCTGCCAGCAGGGCAGCCTGTGGTCCAGCGCCAAGCTGCTAGTATGGGGTATCCCTGCTCCCTCATCAAGTCCCAATGCCAGCTACTTCACAAGTGTTCGCCTTCCTGATTTGTCCCATGAAAACCTTCTAAGGCTAAGAGCGGCAAGAGGAGGCGACTGTTTCTGTTTTATTACAGAAACATTTATTACATTTAAATTCAGGACAATTTTAGGTCTTCTCTCCCACACTGCAACACAGTCTGATTCATTTCCTTTTGGCTTAGATACTCCAATCCTCAAATCCAAGAGCTCCTTGCCACGTATCTTTGAGGTTGAGCCGGGGAGAAGCAAAATTTCTGCTAATGGGAACGCCTGAACACCCCATAGGGTGTTTTCATCTCCTCGATGCCCACCACGCGGCCAGGCTGCCCACATAGCCCCATGTGGCTCTATTCTTCATTCAAAGAGGCATTTGCTCTCACATCTGCCCTCCCCTTGAGAGGCTGCCTGAATGACAGCCACCCCTGGAGAAGAGGGCTGCCTCCTGTCTCAAGAACACATCCCTTTAGCTGCTTCTACTTCAGGGCAGGAGCCCTCTGGGCAAGCAGCATGCAGAACCGCCTTGACATGCTGATGAAGGCTGCCGGTCCTGTATCGGGCAGCAGTCCCCAAACCTGGCTGTGCTCCCAGTCGGCTGGGGAGATGCATGAGATGCCAGATTTCCAGGATCCCCTGCCCAATCCACACCTCTATAACGGGGCTCACCAACCTGTAAGTGTAACAGCTCCTGATGGTTCAAGGTAGCTAGGCTATGGACCAGCTCTGGGACAGTATACAGTCAAAGGGGCGTGAGGTTCTCTGACCTCTCCCAGCAAAGAGCCTTCCCTGGGAAGCGTCTTACTTCACTTTCACTCCTGTTCTCTGTTTTCAGCCCCAGCTCAAAGGGTCCTGACACATGGCTAAGCTCCTGCACCAGCTGTTTACAGCTTTCCTCCAGAAGGGGGGAGACACAATGACCAACAGCTGGAAGGCATTCGTGGCTGTGGACGGAACTGTGCCAAAGGAGTCCGATGCTGAAATATGAACTATCCTACGTTCCAGCCCATGTAACGCTTCTGGGTTTTAAAACCTATTCAAAAGAGTTACTATACTATTTAACCTAGGGACTTGCAGTTCAATCCACATGACTTTCAGTCCTGCTTTACTTAAGTCTAAAATGATACAATGATGCTAATGTATAATATTACTGTATAATAATATAATGTTATAAGAATGTAAAAATATGCCAACGCAGGCCATAGGTATTGAATATGTCTCTTATGAGATTGAATCAGAAAAGTTTTGGACAGGAAAAAAAAAATCACAATTGTAAAACCAGTTCAGAGCTGCGGTTATTTGAATTACAGAGGAAACAGGAATTACCATGAACCTGGTGTGTTACAGGGGTACCAGTTGTTGTAGAAAAATAAAAATCACTAGAGAAAATCAGTGTGGTGGTAGCTGGATCCATAGCAGACTTGCTTTAGCTTTTCATGGGATGTGCACACTTGATTGGCAGCACGGATGCAGCCACCACTGAGAGAAAGGGAATTCAATCCCAAGTCCATTTAGAAGAGGAAGGTCTAAGCTACCTTTGTAGGTCGGATGCTGCTTCTTTTTGGTGAGTGCAGGTGACTTGCTGGGAGGTGCTGCTGCTGTGGAGCTGGGGGCATCGGAAAGGTCGTCTCCCCCCAGTTCACTGTCTGAGACCACAGGCTGACCCAGCTCCTCCACCAAATAGTCTTCGTCATCTTCGAGAATATCGCCTAGAGAAGGACATGAGTCACAGCAAACAATCAGGGTGAAACGGCATAGCCTGTCATGGGTGGGTCTGTTCAACATCAAGGCCTGTGGCTCAGGACACCTGGGACACAGCTGCCAGCAGCCCACGGGCACCCACGTGTCAGCAGGGACGGGACCCCAATTCCATTCATGCCTGAGACAGGAGACCAAGCCCGCAGCCCTGACATCCTCAAAACCACTTTTCCAATGTAATTTTAGATGTCTCCAGGTCCCATTTACCATTTCATTCTTGCACATGGACAATGCTCAACTTATCGCATGGAATGTAATGCTTGCACTGCAAGTACCCTCTCTAACCTTTACGAGGCAAGGTTCTAGAAGGGATCTTGAAAATCTCATGCCTGCTGCGGGGAGAACTTCTTGCCCACCTGCCCGCCTCGCCACACCGACTGAGAAGTCCTCGCAGGGTTACCTACCTTCCGACTCATAGTCCAAACTTGTGAAGTCAAAGTTCTCCTCCAGCAAGCAGGAGTTGGCGGTGGGAGACAGGGAGACCATGCTGTCCCGCTTTCGGGCGATCTCCTCTTGCAAACCTTTCAGCCAGTCCTTGGTCTTCGGTCTGATCTGCACTGCTCTGCCTTTCACCTGTGAGGGCAGAGCGGCCATCCAAGAATGAACGCAGATGTCAGAACAATTCCCTGTGATCCCAAAGTGCATCTCGCTCAAGCTTATGCATTGGGAGTCAGGCCAATCTTTGTGTTTTGCCAAGAAAAACTGAGAGTCTAGACCTCAGGGCAGGCTCAGCACAGCTCACATTTGGTCTAAATAAAGTTGAATTACCATCTCCAGCTTTTCATTCCATGTGAATTTAAAACCAGGATATTATCAACATGGAAACTACCTGCAAACTGCAGATTCCAAATTATGTACTCTAAAGAGAATGATGGCAACACTCCCACGTGGATGTGGGAGCGAAGACAGACCCAGTAACTCAGTGGGAACTAAGTTTTAACTTGCCCTTTCTCCCAATTTCTGCAAGTAGCCAGTGCTGGACATTAGATTCCTCATTGAAGATACCAGAATTATATAGCAGAATGAAGAGTCCTAGCTCCTGCCCTCATGTGGTGCCTACACCTAAAGACACAGGTAAGGAGAGCGGACAACATGACCACGTGAAAAAACCATAGGGATTAAGCAGCGCCCGCTCCACGAGCAACCAAGCATGACTCACCTTCATACCATCTACATCCAGGACACTGAGAGCCGAGTGACTGTCTGCAAAAGTCACCAGCATCTGCCCTTGGTTGATCCTGGAATAGATGAGACACACCCAGTCAACCCCCAGAGCGACGTGGCAGCTCTCACGGATTCCCACTGACGTGCACACCTGAGCCCATGCCAGCCGGGCCAGTAGTTACCTGACAAGAACAATTGTCCCGTAGTTCCCCAAGGTCTCCATGAGTTCCACGCGCACATCCTCAGGAAACTCGTTTTTCTCTTCTAAGGTTGGCGACTGAAGGTTGACCACGACGGTGGCATCCAGGGGCCCCTGGAAAGAGGACACTTCCTGGAACACCCTCTCCCGAGCACCCACGTCAACCTCTTGTACTTCCACCTCCACGATCGCCAGCACGGGTCTGCGTTAGACACGAAGGGAAGATGGGAAACAGTTAACCCAGGACAAGAGCTACCCAGCCCCCAACCCCAGCCCTCAGAGCTCTGCTAAACAGTCCCCATCAACCGCCTACGAGTGTGGCCCCAGCAGGGCCCCTGCAGCCTGGCTGCCCTGTTCTAGGGTTTCAGTCTTTATAGTTCCCCAATTTTAGCGTTGTCTTGGCATTTTTATCTAAAGATGATTCGAGAGAAAACAATACCAGCTATCAGCAAAGATTTTTTACATAGTAATCGCCAGTACTGCCAAGGATGTAGAGAAGTGGGAAATCTCCTTTTGCGAGGGGGTCAAGCTTTTCAGAGGGCTATTTGGCAATTTGAGTTAAGAATCTCAAAAACGTTCATCTCTTTTGATCTACTAATCTCAATTCTAGGGCTCTGTTCTAAGAAAATGACCAGAGATTCAGACAAAGATTTACAGACAAGGTTGATCACTACAGCACTGTTGATGGGAGGGAAAAAAGGAGAAACAATCTAACTGTTCCATAATGGGGAGACAGTTAGGTTAGGGTGCAGTCATATGATAATACGCTATGCAATCACTGAGAAGAACATTGCAGAAATCTACTTGACATACACAGGAAAACAGATCAGCAGGAAATAATGCAATCATTACTGTAATTTTGATATAGGGATGGGTTTACTCAACAAAAATTTAGAAAATCCTTTATTATGAAGCTTATGTAACCTTATTAAAGACATTTATAATACAATATTAATTGGAAACAAACATAAGACAAAATAGTACATAATATGGTGGCAACCTTTAAAACTAAGGAACGCTACAGAAATTAAGACATGTGGGTGATAACATCAGTATTATTCCTCCAACAAACTTATATTACTATTTTTTTTGCATCTAGAAGCAAGAACAAAGAAGACTGAGAAAAATCTGACACAGGGATACGCACTAAGCAAGTGTTCTTAAAAACTTGTGGCAGAAAAAGTTTTCAGAGAAGCCCCATGTGTTGGAGAGAATTGAAGCATCTCTGATGAAAACAGGAGGAGGCAGCTTTATCCACTCAGCAATAAAAAGGAATGAACTATATAGGGGCTGGCCTAGTGGCGTATTGGTTAAGTTCGTATGCTCCGCTTAGGCGGCCCAGGGTTTGCAGGTTCAGATCCCGGGCATGGACCTACACATCGCTCATCAAGCCATGCTATCATGGTGTCCCACATACAAAAAATAGAGGAAGACTGGCACAGATGTTAGTTCAGGGACAATCTTCCACATCAAAAAAAAAAAAAAAGGGAACGAACTATTCATACATGTAACAACTGGATGAATCTCCAGAGAATTATGCTGGCTGAAAAAAGCCAATCCCCCAATTCCGATTCTATTTATGTAACATTCTAAGGAAAGGGAGAAAAGATCAGTGGTTGATAGGAGTTAGGGAGTAAGGGAAATGAGCATGGCTAGAAAAAGGAAACATGAGGCATCCTTGTGATGGAAATGTTCTATATCTTGACCATAACAACATCAATATGCTAATATCTATATCACGTATCTATATGTACCATAGACTTACAGGATCTCACCACTGGGGGCAACTGGGTAAAGGATACACGGGATCTCTATTATTCCTTACAACTGCATGTGAATTTACAATTACCTCAAAATAAAAACTTTAATTTAAAAAATATTAATGTAGTAAATTAAAAAGCAAATGTGATGACAGTTCACATCATTTATCCTAATTTTCTTACACACATTTATATATCTATAAGCACATGTGCACAGGAGTACACACCACACACAGGATAACATTCTGGTGCAAAATCTTCTAATGTACATGGAAAATGCAGTGGAAAGACACATCACACACCATTACTAGTCATTGTCTCAGAGGGTGGGACTATGGATGATTTGTTTGTTTATCTTTCCCTAATTGTCAATAACCAAGAGGTTCTGCTTTTGTAATTAGAAAAATCAATAAATGTCTAAGTGTCAAACCAGTATGTCCGAATCTGCACCTGCCAGTCTTTCCAGCTGAGTAAATGCTACCCCATCCTTCCAGCTGCTCGGGCCCCAAACCGTGGAGTCATCCTCATCTCCTCTCTCTCACACCCCACATCCAATCCATCAGCCAATTCTGTTGGCTCCACTTTCAAAATCTATCTAGAACCCAACCACTTCTCGCCGCAATGACCCACGACCATTCTGGTCCAAAGCCGGCACCATTTCTTCCCTTGCTTCCTGCACTAGCTTCCACGCTGGCCCCACTGGCGTCCCTTTGGGTGATTCTGTTAACACCTCGTCAGATAGCGCCACTCCTCAGCTCAGAGTAAAATCCACTGTCCTTGTTACGGCCCACAGGGGTCCATCTCGTCTGCGTTCCTTGCTCATCTCACCTCATCACCTTGTAACTCTTCTCCTACTCTTTTCACTCCAGCCTCTCTATTCTCCAGCCTCCTGGGTCTTCACTGCCATGCTCCCCACTCTGAACTCTCTCCCCCTGACATCCACATGGCTCATGCTCTCATTTCCTTCAGGTCTCGGCTCCAAGGCCATCTTATCTGAGAGGCCTTTCCTGAACACTGGGTATAAAATAGCACCGATCCTTTGTCTGACCTCTGCCACTACTTTTTTCTTTTTCACAGCACTTATATCTGTTTACTGGCTGTCTGTCCTCACTAGAAAATTCCATGAGAGCATGATCTTGTCTGCTTTGTTTACTGCTCATCCTCAGTGCCCAAAACAGGGCCTAGTCTATAGGGCCCCTCAATAAATAGTGGTTAAATGAAGGCTTCTAAATACATTCACCGAACTAGCAAACCTGCAAGTCACATATCTGAAGATTTCCCATGGTTCATTTCTAGGTATGTATTTGCAACGACAGGTTTCTAAAGAATTTAGAAGTATCTAAAGATTTAGACCTATTGGCTGACCAACTGTTTACCATGAACTCTCTTTCTTCATTTCTTTCCTGGTAAAAGTTGGAACAGACATGCTAGTTTTGGTAGCATCCGTGGGAAGATCAGACTCTTCCTATCTACACCCTCCATCGCCATCTCTGTTTCCTTAAGGGTGTTCCACAAGATAATCTCCCTCTGAGCCGGGCCTAGCACACACCGAGCTCTGCTGCTTGTGTTCCATCCTTCACACAGGACTCACAAGGCCAAGTCAACAGAGCATTTGAAAATCCAGACCAACACTTAAAAACCCTACAGTATTTGTAATAAGAAAATATTAGAAAAAATATTCATCAGTTAGGTGAATGGGAAAATTCCATGCATATATTGAGTGGAATACTGGAATACTATAATATCAATGTGATTGTATCTCAAAAATATTAAATAACAAAGAAGCAAGTTGCATAATGACATCATTTATGAGAATTTAAATGACACAAAATACTCTAGGTTGTGTCTTTGAAATTCTCATAAATGATGTCATTTATGATATGGAGCAGTGACGAAATGCTAACACTGGTTAATTCTTGGTGGTCTGCACACAGCTATTTGTCATACTATTCTTTGTTCTTCACTGTATTCCACCCACGCATTCTGATGGGGACAGCACGTCCGTTCTCTGTGGGGAGCAGCAGACACTGCCTTCCCCAGCAGGAGAATGTGCCCATGGCAGCGAGGACCATACCTGTGATCAGACGCTTGTAGCTCCGCTCGGCCATAATACTTGAGGACACCAGGAGACCAGGTGTGTCTGACTTGGGTGTTAGCATCTAGATCGTTGTCTAGGAGGTTGAGTTCTCCAGCTACTCGCAAGGATTCCAATCAAGAGACCCACAGACGACACAGAATCGTATCAACATATGAATGCCAGTTATGGAGCTTCTATAACAGGGTCTATGTCACGGCCCACCACATGTCCCAGACGCTCTAACCCTTTGTGTTTGAAACCATGCCATGGCAGCTTTGGGGCTTGGGGTTAAAACCTCTCCCATATAGATTATACAAAACAGAAAGACCAGAGCTGCCTCACCCTCCCCAGCAGGTAAACTGGGAGAGGACAGAGAAATCGCTGCTGGGGGAACAGGAACACAGGAGATCTGCAGCCCTCTGTCCAGTAGGAGACACAGAGGCTAAGAACACAAAGACCCCTGCTGCTCAGCGCGCTGGGGCCACGCAGATGTCCACAAACTGATCTGAAGGAAAATGTGTCTTTTCAATCTGCAGATGCCATTTCCTGGCTTTGAAACCTCAGCACACATCTTACCAGCAAAGTTTAACTGTTCATGTACTAGCTGATAAGTGTTCTAGTTTTAAATGAACTGCACTTCCTAGCTGGGCATCAATAATCGTTCAAAACATACTTGACAACTAATTGATAAAAAAGCTCTTATCTTTCCTGAGTCTTGCTCACGTTGGATGTGGAATTGGAGCTTTAAGCAGATACGACTTTGGTTGAACAAAATGGACTGGATAAAGGCATGAGTGTTGAGGGCAGAGATGCTGGAGAGAAAGAGCTGTGGCCTCGCTGCTGATTTCTTGCCCAGAACAAACAGTGGAGGAGGTGGGGTCGGGGGACAGCTGTGATGCAGGGATGGGAGAGCCAGGAGCAGGTGCATTTGCAGATAAGTCTCCAGAAGGGGCCAGAGGGGCACTCCCCCAAAGCACAACTTCCAAAGTGTAGGGGCTAACATCTGGGATGACTTTTGTGTAGTTTTGCGTTATCAAGAAAATGTTTTTTATATAGCAAAGAGCGCCAGGCTGAATAAATGTGATCTTCTCTCTCTGGTATCGATCATTCGCCCTCCACCAGCGCTGAAAGCAGACACGTCTCACGCACCTGTTCTGTCAAAAGGATGCCTCTTCCTCCACCACAGGACCCTGTCTGTCCAGGCGGGGGTGCGGCACTTGTCGCTCGTGTCGTAGGCGGCGGAGCCAACATCATACTTGTAGGTCGGTCCAAAATTAATGGCGCCTTCATGAAAGTCTTTAAAAATCTATTGGGAGAAACAGAAGTCACAAGACCACTTTAGTTCTCCTAGACTCGTGTGTTACATGCAAAAACAAAAAATGAAAAGGCATCTTCCAGAGCGCTCTAATTCTAAAAAGTAACAGAATCTACTTTATATTTGCGAAGATGTCTAAAACTGGACATATGTGTGCCTTTTAATTAGCAAAAAAGCGATGATTATCTATTTGTTCTGCCAACTTACACACCACCATTGGATCTTCCCCCGACCTCCGGTACCCCAGCTATCACACTGTCTGCTGGTCAGTGCTCCAGAAGACAGAGAAAGGCACGAGGCAAGGATGCACATCCCAGGCCTAGGGCAGTGCCCAGCCCATACCTAGCAAGGCCTTAATCGATATTTGTTAACTAAACAGATGGGGTAAAAAGAAGCCCAGAACTAAAGTCGAGCTCTTCTCTGTCGTCATTTACTCTAGATCCAGCCTTGGTCCCGTGGGAAGACCCAGAAACAGATGTTGACTCCGTGGACGAGTGGAAGGGTGTGGAGAATATTGGCAGGAGGAAGAAAGAAAAACCTGTCTCAGGAAGGTATGCTGTGGTGACTTTTCCATCTGGCCACCCCACAGCAATCCATGTCACTCGCAGGGTTGAGCAGCGAGGGCAGAGAAACCCGGAGGAACGTTGGAATCTCGTTGTCAGAGACCTTAACTTTCCTATCTTCACACATTGAACCAGCTGCATTTTCAAAAGGTAAATGGAACTTAGCTGTGCTTCCCTCATCTCAGCTCATCCTGCTGGGAAGCCAACAGGCACCAAAATAAACAACCAGTATTAGTTGGATGAGAGGATAAGATTCGTGTCATCTGGAGGCTGGCCAGTATGACCCTGAAGAACTGAGGACAGATCTTCTACTTGAATCTTTCCTATGATGTCATGACTTACAGAGTCACTGAAAACTGCACAGGGGTCACATAGGGGAGAAACAGCCCTGTAGTTTGACACCCTTGGCTGTATCATGGCTTTGTGTACTGACTGCGTGGTCTTGGACAAGTTATTTGACCTTGGCCTCAGTTTTCTTATCTAGAAAATGGGTATACTACCTAATTTGTAGGATGGTCTTAAGGATTACCCATACAAATTGGTGTGAAAAGTGTATTGGATATTGTTATAATTCGTTAGTGTGTTCAAACAGAGATAGCACCAAAATGAAGTATTTCGAGCAGAGTCTAAAGTGTCACTTGGTGGCTTAGTATACCTGAAATACAGCAGTGCCTACAAGCCTTGCACATGAGGATGAGATGGGGTGGACCTGCGTACATTAGCATTCACATTAGCTCCTATAGCTGGCTTATGTGTTCACCAGGCCCTTTCATACAGTGATGGCCCCTCCGGCCATGAGAAGACACACAGTCCCTGAATGGCCAGTGAAAGCCATGTGAGGAGGAACAGGAAGTGTGCATGAATGGACGCCACGTTTCTCTAACTTCATATGCCACACGTGTTTTCTACAATATTGGACTCATCCTTAAATCCACTTGTGGAACTTAATTTGCCAAACACTAGCGTACACATGCAGTAGCTGTTATTTCCTATTGGAGCAGCTGCTAAAAAATATTTTAAAAGTACAACTTACTTTTCCACTTGATTTCTGTAGCTGTAGCTGATCAAATTCCAGCAGTTTCTTCCAGTCTTGGCGTTTAACGAAATAGAAGACTTCTTCGTAAGTGAGATCGATGCGGTAGTTGAAATCACCGCACCAAAACACGTAATCGTGAGAAAAGATGTTTCTTCCCTAAGTTGTAAAGAAAATCATGATCATTCTGGCCCATCTTGCAAGGAAGGGGAGGGGGAGAAAACCCAGCTCACCACGCACATGACAAGCAGATGCGTTTTTCTTAACATGTTACTTAAAAAAAAAAAAAGTCTTCTACTAGACCAACTCAGTTTTCACTAATCCCATAAACCTACTGAGGAACTTCTACGTGGCTTACTTTCTTATTTTAAATAATAGTGTTTTGGGGTAGTTTGGAAAAAACTCCAACACTCACTAGGGAAGCATGACTATCATTATTTACTCTGCCGCTCCCACCTCGAGGATCAGGCTGTGCTCCTACTTGTATGTCTATTTCCTAAGTAGAACTGCCAAACAGTCAGTGTTATGACAATGAGGTTTAAGAAAATAAGTATATGGGGCTGGCTCCGTGGCTTAGCGGTTAAGTGCACGCGCTCCGCTACTGGTGGCCCGGGTTCGGATCCCGGGTGTGCACCAACACACCGCTTCTCCGGCCATGCTGAGGTCGTGTCCCACATACAGCAACTAGAAGGATGTGCAACTATGACATACAACTACCTACTGGGGCTTTGGGGGAAAAAAAAGGAGGAGGATTGGCAATAGATGTTAGCTCAGAGCTGGTCTTCCTCAGCAAAAAGAGGAGGATTGGCATGGATGTTAGCTCAGGGCTGATCTTCCTCCCCCCCAAAAAAAACAGAAAAGAAAATAATTATAAATGCTCAGGATATGCAATTTTTTTTTTTTTTTGGTGAGGAAGATTGGCCCTGAGCTAACATCTGCCCCAATCTTCCTCTATTCTGTATGTGGGACGCTTCCACAGCATGGGCTGATGAGTGGTGCATAGCTTCATGCCAGGACCTGAACCTGTAAACCCCGGGCCACCAAAGCAGAGCACACGAACCCAACCACTATGTCACCAGGCCAGCCCTGAGGATGTGCAACTTTGTAAAACTTGATGGATTTTATACATTTTCATCCTGTGAGCCTCCGTCTCATTTCCCCTCCCACCTCATCCTGCCCAGCCACTCTGAGCCCGCGGTCCACCAGCGCAGCCCTGGAGGGCTCCGGATCCTCACTCTCTCCCCCACCTAGGAATCACAACCACGACAGCAGCTGCTATGAATCAACTGTCTATAAGGGCTAGACTCTGTTCCGGGGGCACGTAGTCCTCAGAGCAACCCTGTGAAGCACACACTATTGGCTCTCTTTTAGATTAAAAGAAAGAAGTTCAGAAAAACTTGCTCAAGGTTCCACAGCTAGTGCAGGATAAAGACAAGATTTGAACTCAGATCTGCCTCGCTCCAAAATCTGTTTCTGTTTCACTACACTAGGTGGCATTCCCACTCCCCCAACCCACAACACTAATCTGGACAGAAGACTGAAATTATCTCAACCAAATAAAATGAGTGTGTAGAGCAGCATGTCTAATAGAACTTTCTGCAGTGATGGAAATGTTCTCCATCCACGCCATCTAAACAGGAGCCACCAGCCACAGGTGGCCACTGAGCACTTGAAATGCAGCCAGTGCAACCAAGGATTTTCTGTTCTATTTAATTTTAATTAATTTAAATTTAAATAGCTACTTGTGGCTAGTGGTTACTCTACTGGACAACGCAGGTGTAGAGTACAAACTTGCAGGTACCCTCAATATTTCTGTGGTTGAAAAAAAAAGCTGTATTATAAGCTCACAGCCCTTCAAATATTTTGAATGTGTCCCAAGTTTACTATTTCAAAATAGCACTTTTTTAAGTGAGAAGGGCTGGACATTTTTTTTTTTTTTGTGAGGAAGATCAGCCCTGAGCTAACATCCATGCTAATCCTCCTCTTTTTGCTGAGGAAGACTGGCTCTGAGCTAACATCTATTG